GTGCCTTGACCAAGGCAATGACAAATTTCATACAAATAAGAAAGTTGTTAACTTCGATTTTTGTCTTCTCACTTTCTCTGAATCATGTAAACCAATTTACATGGGTCCGATCACTACTGAGTCAAATAATGACGTTCTAAACCTTTCAAAGAACAGCTAACAAGTATTACTATGTCACAGACAATATGCTCTACGCTTAGTCTCATTTAATTGTCACTACTAGGTAGCTCTAACCTCACTCCACGTGCTGCATGCTTCGCATTCATTATCTCATTTAACCTTCCAACTACCCTGGATGAATGCTGCAATTATGCCCATTTTACAGATGAGAAAACTGAAACCTAGAGAAATAAAGTAACTTCCCCAAAGTCGTTTAGAAAAGGAGCAGATATTAAAACCAAACAGTGTGCCTCAGAACCCAAGCTCTCAGCAGTCACCATGCTACCCTGTAGCCCTGTTAAACAGCAGTCAGATCTGGAAGAAAAAGTAAAAGTGAGGCAACCATGAAATACAGTCTGTCCAGCATTTTTAGCCAAGTCAGATACAAGTTGTATTTGAAAACACTGCCTAATATCTAAGTAGACTCTTTAAATTTAAATGTTTAACTGAGTAAGATTTTTTCTTTTGGCTTGTTTGCCTTGGGAAATGAATTCTGATGACATAATATGTTTTTCTTTAATGCTAGAAATTTTTCTCTGTACTCTTCTGGTAAGTCAGGATTGCTATAATATGCCCTAAAAACATCTGTCAGGAAAAGATTGCACAATCGTGCCAGGTCAGGCTGTCTCCTCCTTCTGAGATTTCCTCTGGGGCCTCTTTTGGACAGTCACAGTGCAATGACAAACCTGACCCAGAGGAGTGGCCGGCTCTTCTTGCCCTTTACCTTAGCAGAGACTCACATTTAATAATCCCCACAGCCCAAATCCAGCCGATGCTAGAAAGTGTGATATTGTGATTTACAAGGAGAAATATGTATTTAGTCTTGGTCCGGTTTCTGAAACAGTTCTTAAAACTCTTGAAATTTTCTAACTTATGAGAGACAGGTATCTTTTGTTGTGTTAGTGAGGTAACTTTTGGCACATATCTAAGGATTGGGGTTGGAACTTTCAGCCCTATCCCATACCAGCCTCCACCTCAAAGAGGAAGAGGAGCTAGGGATTGAGTTCAATCACCAATGTTCAATGATCAAATCACTCAAGCCTCTGATTAAGCCTTCATAAAAACCATAAGGACTGGGGTTTCAAGAGCTTCCAGTCTGGTGAACATGTGGAGATTTGGGGGAGAATGGAGCTGAGAGGTCATGGAAGCTCCTTGCCCTTTTCTTCACACCTTGTCCTATGTATGCATCTCTTCCACCTGGCTGTTCCTGAGTTATATCCTTTCATAACAAAGTGGCAATTTGTAAGTAAAATGTTTCTCTATGCTCTGCAAGCCACTCTGGCATATGAATTGAACCCAAAGAGAGGATCTTGGGAACCTCTTTTTTATAGCCTGTCAGTGAACATCCTGGACTTTCAACTGGTGTCTGAAGTGGAGGGCAGTCTTGTGGAAATGAGCCCTGACGAGAAAAATTCTGATATCCTAAATTAAATTACAGGCTGCAGGGAGGGGGGGGAAACAACTGAAGTTAATCAGTTAACAGCTGGAGGCCTAAACTAATAAAGACTACTCATGTTCCTGAATATATATTAAATTTTTAAATCAACCGCCAAATGGCTAAGCTGACCACCAGACACTACCATATTCTGTTTCTGCATGAACTTTCAAGACTATTACCCATTTTCAATCCAGAAGTAATAAATAATCCTTCTTTAAGGACTATGCACCTATCCTGGAACTGCCTTTGCTTCTTTTCCCACTCCATTTTCTATAGCCAATGTAAATTCTTTCAAAACAACTTGCTTCTTCCTTCCCCAAGCTCACTGTACAACAAAGTCCCATCAGCTCCAAGACTGCAGACCTGTTAGTCTTCTCCATCCTACCCTGCTACTGGTAGTTAAGACTCCATGTCCCAGGACCTGATCCTTTTTCTGGCTAGCATATGGCTCAATAAACCCTTTCTTTCAGAAAAGCTTTCCACTGAAATGTATTTGTTTAACATCCCTTAACCTATAAAATCTGATGCTATCTCCAGGTAGATAGTGCCAGAATTGATTTGAATTGTAGGACACCTAGCTGGTGTCAGAACTGCTGGGTATAGAGAAATACCACACACACCACCACCACCATCATCACACCACACCCCTGCCACCCTCACACATATTGTTGATCAGAATCATTAGGTTTTCCACATTTCCTAAAATTCTAAGAAGCTTTGTGAAGCCTTTCTCTGACAATCGTTTCAACCCATCTGGTTTCATCATATCTAAATGTCATGTGAAAGTATGACAGCAATCTGTGTCAACTGTTCTATAGCTGAAAAAAAAAAAATCAATGGATCCGACACTATGCTTACTCCATACTGAGTCTACCCCACACCTTCCTGAAAAGTGCTCACAATAAACTACATGTCTATATTCAAATGAAAACTTTAATCAAATTTTACATTTATTATTAATAGAACATGCTATGTAAATGAACAGGAGCCTGATAAATGGCAATCTAACACTTGGCTTAAATAATACAAGCACTTGCTGCAGACTTCCTTTATTGTGACTTTTAAAAAATAATTTCTAAAAGTACATGATTTCTTTGAAATACTTTGTTTAGGAAAGATTAGAGATAAAACATTTCCAGTAATGAGTCAGTTGTATATAGGTTCAGATTAGAAAATGTCAAATAACTGGAAAAAAATTATTTTTTATATTTAGATATATTTAAATATGGAGTCATTTTATTTAAATATCTAACCTGAATCTTCAGTGTTTCACTTATTTTATGGGTTAATTCCATCACATCAGGTCTTATTTCAGTAATTTCTCAACTGTTCTAGACAGGACATTAAAAAAATTCAACTCCTGTCAATTACATTACCTGTCTTCATATGACCTGAATGAGATACTTCTGCTCCCTACACAGGAGTCACGATAGAAAAATAATTCCCCCAACTTACTAGTGAGAAACAGATAACACTGTTGTTCAGAATAAAGACTACTACACATCTGTGAACACTCACATGCTGATCCTAGAGCACTTCATTTCAGCGAACAAGAACTGATTCAGAATTCAGCTTTGGCTGAGAAACACTGACGCATAAAGAGAACCATAAATGAAGATGTTATGGACGCTGGCCAAAGTATTTCCAATAAGGTCGCAGGGTTTTCAGGTGGTGCCTTTCCTTTAATGACAAATGCATTAAGAAGATTCAGTTTTTCTCAAAATGTCATGACATC